TAGCATTTACTGTTAATGTTTCTCCACTCGTGTTGTCTCTTTAATCCTCACAACGCTCCTATAATAGTAGCACTATATCCTTCATTTTATAGCTAAATAAACTGATAATCAGAGAGGTACATGTGCTGCTGAAGTGGGCACTATAATTAGGGAGGTGACACGGGTTTCCCCGGGCACATACAAAGTGGTAAAGCTACAACAGTTTCCCCATCCTGACCCAGAACTATTTTGAAGCAGCTCACATGCTTCCTGGTTGTGGGCTAATCAGCCACTTCCGTAGCAGAGAGCCAAGGTTCCAGGAACAAGAGAAGGAGGCTAGAATAAGGAAGGCTGCAAAGGGTCTTGTTAAGTAGGTCAGAAGGACAGAACAAGATTTGCAGCTGACAATCCTGGGGGGCCAGGGGCAAGGAGAGGGCAGTATGAACTTAGGCATCAAAGAGGATCAAGCCAGGACGGTAGGGCCTTTGCAGCTCCATCGGATTTTACTCTCTCTTCTGTCACTCAAGAGTTTTTCTATTTCTATTCCTATTTTCTGATTAAGGAACTTGCTGTGCATGAGCTGGTCCAGGCCAATGAAAGTCAAAAGGTAATCAGGAAGCAGGTGTATTCATACAGAGCAGCCAGACCACAGGGGTGATGTTGAGAGGCCATCAGTCCTCGGCCTCCTGCAGCAGAGAGAAAAGCTGTGGCATGAATCAGGGCTCTCTGGACGAAATAACAAAAATGCTTCAAGAAGGAAATTTCATTCTCAAGAATAGATTTTTGAGAAAATCAAATTTGTAGTGTCTGACAGCAAGGGTCCTGTGGGGACATCATACAGGGTCTAACATGTTGTCACAAACCTGCCTCCCACCTGGGCCCAGGCCTTCCAGTGGGGTATTCAGAGATCCTCAGTCATCAACACTCAGTGCTCCATGAACAAAGGCAGCCCCGCTGGGAGAAATGGCAGCCTGAGGGACAGGAAATATATGCAAGTGGTGTAGGGGCAGCCTGGTGAGGGGATTGAGGTTTCCTTAGCAGTAGCCTCTGTGGGCAAAACCACTTCCTTGTTTCTCTGTTGCTCTTCTGATCTTGTCAAGTAGACCTGCATCCTCCAAGCATTTAAAGTGCTTTCATTCCTCAAAACCCATTCTGCCAGGTACTACCACAGTGTATGCGATGATGCAGATCATCTCGTCTCCTTTTCCAGGAGAAGAATCTCACCCCCAGACATGGCCAGGGGGCTGCTCAGCTAAGTTGGGTGCTCACTGTGGCTGTCCCCAAATTGGAGCATGGCAGAGCTTCTCAGGACTCATTTGCCCCCGGGATGGCTCTGGGTGAAACCTCCTGGCTCACATAGGCAGGATGAAGATCATAAACATGGGCACAGCCTTCCACTAAGAAATTCCCCTGAGCCCAAGATTTCCCTGACTTGCTCACAGCTGGACATCCACCACATGGAGTTCTTGGGGAACCCAGAGCCTGTACAGCATGCTCTTTCATGAGCCCTCAGGAGATTCCTCGCCAATCTCCGGGTTACACGAACTACATCATGTATACCTGGAGTTTCACCAGGCACAGAGAAAGTATTCCATAAATCCTGCCCGTTGTGCCCGCAGCATCTCCCTATATTACATATTGCCTCGCAACCGCCATGTTCTTAGACTTCCCTGGAAGGGCATCGGTGCCATTACACCCCTGCTGGGAAAGAGCTGGAGCTCTGATTGACAGACACGTGCTTCTTGTCATTCGCATTGCTTCATCCTTTGATATGTCATCTACCTGAGTCCTTCCTGCACCCCCATGAGGCAGGTGTTATCATTATCCCCACAAAATGAGGATGCTGAGGGGAGAAAGTTTATGTTACTCAGGGGTAAGTAGTAGATACACAGCTGGAACACGGGCCCTTTTGTCATCATTACTCCAATATTCAACCTCTTCAGGAAGATTCCAGAACTTCAAAGTCTAGGCCCCATTCCTGTAATGGTCCTAGAGGTCCCCAAAGCTTCCTTTGGTCACAGAGTCAAGATCTGAAGCAGCAGCATCTTCACCTCAGAGGAAGTCACAGTTTCGTGGGTGACCAAGGACATCCAAATACTCATGATATCCATTGGCCCAACCTATGCTGGGGCTGTAACGAGAGAAACACTCACATTTGTGTCTCTCTTCTGCAGGTTTGAGGATCTTAGCCCATGACCTTGGTAAGATAAATGCCTGCCTGGAAAATCTTCAAACCACAAAAACTGATGTTTCATGCACTGTGGAAAGGATAGGATTCTAGAACTTTATCTGCTACTTAAAATTCTAGTCTTTAAAGAAAGGCTGCCAATTTAGATAGCATCCCTAATATGTCACAGTATATAATGAGCTTTTTGAGGCCTAAGCAGGGACAGAAAGAACTGCATGATCTCTTATCTACTCTGTGGTACTTTGGCCTTGTCCTCTGGTCTTGTCTGAGAATGGCACATGACTTTGCCGTATCTTATTTTAGAACAAAGCATTTAGATTAAATGCCTTTTCTTTATCTATGATCCTTTTCAGGTTTTTTCCCCCTTCTCCATAAGAAACAGTGTTTTATTGTCACCTTCAAAGCAGAAAAGAAGCCTCTTAGAAACAGACAAAATCACCCACGGGTAAGAAATATTAATGTAGGAGAGCCTGTAATGAGATATTTCAAGTACTAAAAGAGAACAACCTCCAACCTAGACTGATGTATCCAGCAAAACTCTATTTCAAAATGGAGGGGGAAATAAGACACTTCCAAGACAAAGAACATTTGAGAAACTACATGAATACCAAACCAGCACTACAAGCAATTCTAAACAAGATCCTAGAAAAAGACAATGAAGGCAACAACAGCAAGAGGCCCAACAGAGCAAATCAAATAGGCAAGGCAAGAAATTAAAAGGAGAAGGTGAAACATTAAAAAGAGTCAACAAAAGGCCAATAACATGTCAATAATAAGTCAGTACACATCAGTTATAACCAGCAATGTCAATAGCCTCAATTCACCAATCAAGAGAAATAGACTGGCAAAATGGAATAAGAAGCAAAATCCAATAATATGTTGTATACAAGAAACACACCTAGTGCAAAAAGAAGCCCATAGACTGAAAGTGAAAAGATAGAAAACAATTCTCCATTTGACAGGAGCCCAGAAAAGAACAGGGGTAGCAATCTTATTTGCAGACAAAGCAAATTTCAAACCAAAACTGAATCTAGTATTATTGTTGTAGGACAGTACTGTATCATACCTCTATGAATGTAAAATATCTAGTACCTGCTTTATGATACATAGTAGGGACCGTGCTTTATCAGAGCTACATTTAAAGATATTACTCTAGAATGTTCTCTTTCCAGATGATGATTAAGAGGCTAATAGAAAAAATGGTGCCAGATACCACAGCAGCAACAGAACATTGCTGTTGTCTGGATATTATTCTTTTCTTTGGTTTTTTTTTTTAATGGAATGTGCTGAATGTCTATAATTTTGTTCAGATGACTGCAGAACCTGGAAAAGCTGTTGCTGCTATCAATGCATAACATACTATTATTAGTCCATATATATATATATATACATATATATATATATACACACACACACACACACACACACATATAAATTGAATTTTGGGAAACTTTAACGGTGCTGCCAACTTTGGAAAAAGTCATCCCAATTTACTGTGTTGACTTGGCATTGTACAGAAATGGACAACCATATTGGTCTAGAATTGTTAATTTATTTTATTTTATTTTTCCATGTGTACAGGGGTAACACGTCGTACTAAATATGTAAGGTCATATCTACGTGGGTTTGATTACAGAAACTAATAAAGTATTCTCTAAATAATGAAAAAATAATAAGATTAGACTATAAGAGCGAGAGGCAATTTACATATGTTCAGGGACGATTTTCATCTCCAGAATTAAGGATTATTTTAATGTTACATCATTGCCTTTTCTCTTTTACTTTCCTTTTTAGTTTTATTTTAGGATTCCCTATTTTTAATGTTCATACAGAGATTTCTTTAACTGAAATACCTAATAGTTTCTTTGGTGTGAAAAACTATAATAGTACACAGGATCCTAATGAGACAATTAATAATGTTAAATAGGAAGTAAAGGGCTAAAGGTGTAGGGAAAGTGGGAAGGGTGGGAAAAGGTAATACGGGAGAGGAAAAAAATATGAGAAACTGAAAAAATGGAAATAAAGTGTTTGTAAATGGGGAGGGGAGGAGGGGGTGGAGAGAGGGCAGGGACAAGGGGAAAAATGAGAATCAAGACCTATTATGTAAAGGTACAGAATCCCAATGATGAATGTAACTGTATTTGTATACCTAGATTGTACTAATAACCTCAATAAAAAAGAAAAAAAAAGAAATATTAATGTACTTTGAGATCCTGGGAATACAGATGCAGTTCGCTCAAGTAAATATTAAAGTAAATATGAGTTGACTAATTCTAACCCTTCTTTTTTGCTTGCTTCATGTAAAATCCAGTCCTACTGACTGCCCTTATGCTCTGCACACCAAATGAAAGACCTTGAGAAAACTCGACCCTTTGAGGAATAAGCCAACTTCTCTAGAGCCAAGTAGCTACTTGTCCAGAAATTTTCTTAAAAACAAAGCAAAAAAACCTGACTTCACTATACAAAGCCCTTTAAAGCAAAACAGAATAAGCTGTGAGTATAATGAGGTATAATTTCTACACTACGTGGGCTCTGTGATCACCTTACTACAGGGCAACATGCTTGTAGTGGGTTTTTCTCTCCTTCAATTTTAATTTTACTTGGTTTTGTTTGGCAAGAGTGAAAGGGGAAGAGCCTCCTGAGCAGATCCACAGAGTGAGCCCGACAGTTTATGACCACTGACTTCAGCTGGGGAAGTCGGAAGTGCCGTTGCTACCCTGTGAAACTCGGACTTTTCCTTTACCCTGCAATTTTTAGCTCAGAACTGCACATGCAAGACTCCCTCCAGCTCTTCCCAGACCCAGACTCTGTAGCTCTCTCAGATTACTGAGTCGTGTCTCTCCGTGTTCCTGTGGGGTTTCATTTGCTTCACACTTATTGAAAAGTGGGGGGAGGGGTGACAAAGGGGAAGAGGAGGAGAGAGGGAAGATTGCTCCGCTCAGCGTTCCTCACTTGGCCACCTCTGCAGCCAGGTGGTGACTCTGGTGGAGAGCTTGGAGATGAAGTCCCTGTGCAGGATCCTTGAGGTGGCTCCTGTGTTCCTACTCCTGCTCCTTCGCTCCTTGGCCTCTCCAGCCTCTGGTGACCAGTTCAGCCTGGGCCACTCCAGTAGCCACCACTGTGTAGGTAGGTACTTTTGTGGTTTGTTTCTTTTTTTTTTTTTTTTTTTTTTTTTTTTT